TAAAAAAACACGGGTCTCCTAAAAATAAATGTACCCAATACAGTAGACTCGCGCTAGTGTAATACAGTAGACTCACACTAATATGAACATAAAAAAACCGGACCTGTTCATATTATCGAGACATTCACATCATTGAAGGTCTACCTAAAAATGCAAAATACTGCCAACAATGATCTCTTATACTTAAAATGTCAGCAATGGTCTCCAAACTTAAAATTCAAGAAAAATTATTACAATAGGTACTTGCAAACATATCCATCCATTAGGTAAATTTTCCCAGTTTATTCATTAAAGTGAGATGTAATTTTTGTCTGAATGATTCTAGCGGATCATTGGATGGCTACCTACTTTGTCTTGAAAGTTTCTTAGGCTTTCTGTATCATTAACGCCAATATTCTATTGCCTCTCAAAGGTCTGTTCTCACAAAAGTCCTTGACAGTTTGCCAACTGTCAGTAACAATCGCTCAGTTAGGTTACTGATTTATCTTGGAACGACGGTATTGAAAACATGGATGGGCGATGCACTTTGACAGTTTGCAAACTGTCAGATTTTCTTGTGAGAACAGACCCATAGAGAGTTTAAAAAATTGTGTTTTTCGTCATTTTCACAAAACAATAAACAACAAACTAAAAACTTATAGACTTTGGAACGTGCTCTTGACGCGCAACCCCAGAATTGGACGGAAACAACTGATGAAAACAACAAGTAAGCAGAAAACTGATAAAATTCATGGTCAAATACATTGTTCATACCAGTGGCGGCTGGCCCTAAGGGGCCAAGGGGCCGTGGCACTGGCGCAAAATATGTCGGTCCTTTTAAAAGATTTTTTTTTTTAGTTCAATAGTTATTACAATCGTCAGATCAAATTACTTATCATTTTATAATTTGATCCCGACGGAAAAATTTCTGTCGTTATTATTCCTAAATTTCCTAGACAATAATTCAAGTGACTGACTGAACTAAACTTGCTGCACTATCCGTCCGAGCCCATCTCACAACGGCCCCGCTGCAACACGGCAATTACATTGGAGAAGGTCACGTCGCGCTCCCAGTAACCAGCTGTTTTTATACGTATAAACGGGGCCACCTGATCGAACGGCCCGGATTAGTATTTGCGGCAATTTAATTAACACACAACACATAACAAGAACCTGGAAGAAGCCAAGTGAGCTGGAACAAGTCTGGAAAATGTCTGGATAAATCTGGATGAAGTCTGGAAAAGTCTGGAAACCTCTGGAAAAGTCGGAAAAGAGCCTGGAAATTCTTGGAAAGGGTCGGAAAAATTCTGCCAAAGGTCCCAAAAGACCTGAGGATCATTTCCCAGAATCCGGATCAGTGTGGAAAAGTCTGGATAAGGTCTGGATAAATCTGGATAAATCTGGATAAAGTCTGTAAAACTCTGGATATTGTCCGGAAAAGTCTGGAAATCTCTGGAAACGTCTGGAAAAGACTTGGAAATTTCTGGAAAGGGTTGAAAAAATTCTGAAAAAGGTCCCAAAAGACCTGGGGATCATTTTCCAAAATCCGGATCAGTCTGAACAAGTCTGGATTAATCTGGATGAAGTCTGAAAAACTCTGGAAAGCTCTGGATAAGTCTGGATAATGTATGGAAATCTTTGGAAACGTCTGGAAAAGGCCTGAAAATTTCTAGAAAGGGTCGGAAAAATTCTGGAAAAGGTCCCAAAAGACCTGGGGATCATTTTCCAGAATCCGGATCAGTCTGTACAAGTCTGGATAATAATAATAATAATAATAATAGTTTATTTGTGTGCTAGATTACAAAGGTTTACAGTTTAATTAATTCGGTATATCTACAAAATAAAATATCTTGGCATAGAAACCTTCGCCATCGCACAGGATGAACAAAATACCACGAAAGATGAACTTGTCTGTGGCTCTATTTATCGACGCGACGCAAATGATCTTACCATATAGAGGGCTCTCAGACAGGAGATGAGCCCTTTCAGTGTTTATTAAAAGCAATAACTTATGGAATTGAAGCACAACATCTAAAAATAAATATTAAAAGTCTAAGTCTAAAAATTAAAACAAATCAAAAACAAAATCAACTAAATCTAAAGCAAAAATATAAAGACAAATCGAGTAACTGAAAACATGAGCAAGTTATCACTGGTTTTTGAAGTCTATAAGATTATGTATATGACACCTTGGACAGCTCAGCATCCAGTTTCTAACTGAAACTTTGAAATTTTTCAGTGTTCTTTGTTTTTTTATGTTTTCGGGCAGGTAATTGAACACCCTCGGTCCTATGAACATGCTACTACGTTGCCCTATAGATTTTTGCATTCTTGGTACTCTGATTAAGTTTCTTTGTCTCGTGTAAACTTGAGTTCGAGGTGTAGTACAGTCACTCTGAGTTTTATACCAAATTATTGCCAGTTGTTTAAAATAAAGTTGTCTGATATCAAAAATCTGATTATCTCTATAAAGTAAATCTGAAGGATATAATCTTTCTTTATTGAAAATTATTTTTAAAATCCATTTTTGACTGACATTGACAGAATTAAGATGTTCATTTAACACTCCACCCCAAGCCACATTACCGTAGGTTAAATGTGGTTCTACCAAAGCTGAATACAATATTTTTAGCTTTTTGGAATCTAGGATCCTTCTATAGTATTTAAATTTGTATACCAAACACCGAAGTTTTCTATTGACATAGTTGATATGGTGGTTCCACTTAAGGTGGCAATCCATCATAACCCCTAGATATTTTACCGTACTAGTTCTTTTTATGACAAAAGTATCGTTTATTTTTAGCTCATTGAACTCGGGTAGATATTTGGCGTAAGAGGTGAAGGGCATAAAGGCCGTTTTATCCCAGTTTATGGTCAATTTTTTGCTCGCAAAAAAATCTACAAAGCTAGAAAAGTCCTGTTCAACTGATGTCTTCAGATCCTGCCAGTCATCAAATGCATAAAAAAAGACTCCGTCGTCCGCAAAACAAAGCACCTCTCCAATAGTATCGATTTCAAAAATGTTGTTAAGAAATACTATAAAGAGAAGAGGACCAAGAACAGTTCCCTGGGGAACGCCGCATTGTACTTTAGTAAAGGTGCTCAGTTCTGCACCTATCTCAACACACTGCTCTCTATCAAGAAGGAAACTCTCAACAAGCTTTAATACTCTACCTCCAAATCCCAGCCGATCCAAAGTTTTCAATAGATCTTGATGATCCACAGTATCGAAAGCTTTGGCCAGATCAACAAAGATGCACAGAGCCGGCTTTTTGCTATCCACTGCTTCGTAAATCTTCCTTGTTAAATGACCCAGTGCATCCTGTGTCGATCTGCCCTCTAGAAATCCATACTGTCTCTCACTGATTAGACCATGTTTTTTCAGGTGGTTCAAAAAACGTTTTTTCAGTAGTTTTTCCAGGAGTTTGGAGAAGCCAGAAAGAATAGATATAGGCCTGTAGTTGCACTTGTCGCCTGACTTGAAAAGAGGTTTAACTTTAGCTATTTTTAATGGTTTCGGAAATATCCCATGCTTCATCGATAAGTTGCAAATATGCACTAATGGATCAAGGATTAATTTATTATAACGTTTTATGAAATGTGTTTGTATATTGTCCAAACCAGGAGCTTTATTTGTTTTCAAGTCTCTCACCAATTCTGTCAATTCCTGTTTGTTTGTGAGGTCAAGCGATAATTGTTCATTGATAATTTTCTGATGAAATTGCTTTTCCGGCTGTTTTATTTTCGATGCTAGTTTAGGACCTATTTCACTAAAGAATTTATTAAAATAATTCGCTATATCTGTATGTTTTGTGAGGTATTTCGCTTCTTCGGTTTTTATTAGCTTTATTTCAGTATCTTTACATTTGTTTTCCAGTTTATTTAAATTTATCCACAAATTCTTTGGACAGTCTTTATTTATTTCAATTTGGTTTTTATAGTACACTGCACAGCATAATTAGCGCATAGGTTAAATTTACCATTTTCTTTTTTTGGTTCTCATTTTTTTTTGGAATAATTTTTCTGCATGCGGTTTTTGGCATTCGAAAGTTGTTTTCATCTAGATTACGCGGCAAAAACAATTTTTTAGAAGGAATGTTATTTTCATGTTATACAGGGTGATTCGTGAAGTAATGCAACAATAGACAAATTAGGGGTGTGTGCCTGGCCGGCAATATTTTTTTTTTCGCGATCCAGTATGGACCGTTGATAAACTGCTCTCAATATCTCCAGACGTTTTTAGCAGTTTTCTGGTAAAGGCCCTTTTGACGCAGATATACCACTGAATAAAAAATGGGTCAAATTCTTGTTAAACAATTTTCAAAAGGCTGCTGCGTGAAAACGGCTGAACCGGTATCAGTCAGCATATCGAATTTTGGAAGCTCCTTTTCTGTAGATTTTTTTTGACGCAATAGCTTTTCTTGCGGATGTCCCTTATCACATTATACAGGGGTCGAAAAAATCACGTACCTAAATTGTGCAAATTATGGTAAATGCTCTCTTCAAAGCTATGCCAATTGAGCTGTGTGCTTTCGTTTTATTACACAATTGGTCAATTGAAACTTTGGATCAATATATCGGCACAAATTTCTCAATTTTTGGATTAGTGCCCGCCGACTGCCTTTTTGGCAGTCCGAATTAGAAATGCTGTTGCATAGAAACGGACTGATACATTTTGAATATTTTTTCGATTTTGCAAGCTCATTTTATGAAAATTATTACGCTATTACTGTAAATACAAAATTTCGCATTGTACAGGGGTTAGCGAAAAGGTGAAGTTAATTTTTTTCAGAAATCAGATAAATCCTGTAGATATTGTCAAGTGGTCGATACTTTGGGTCAATATCTCAAGATGATTACTACTGTTTTTAAATAGGGCCTCGTAATGCCTTTTTGGCAGCACAACAGTTTCAATAAGTTGGCAATTGAGAAAAGAATAATGGATTTTCACGAACTTCTCCGATGTTGAAAGCTTATTTTTTAGATTATTATAGATAGATTCAAAATTCAGTTATTTCCAGAAGTTACTTACCAAAATCAAATGTCCTGTAGATCAAAGTTAATTTCATTGAATGCACCCAGCATCGGAATAATTAAAATGCAGGCTTAAGGACAAAAATAACATTTAATTTCACAATTTGCCTCAATAAATAATAATACAAAATTTAGTAATGTGTGTTGCCTCCTCTTGCTCTAATTACTGCTCCGCATCTTCTTGGCATGCTTGAAATTAGATTTCTTATTATCTCCTGATTCATCTGATCTCATATTTCCGTAAGCCTCAAAGAGAGCTCATCAAGGTTCCTGGGAGGAGGCATTAACGCTCTAACCTGTCGACCCATGTTGTCCCAAAGGTGCTCGATTGGGTTAAGGTCAGGACTTCTAGGCGGCCAGGGCAAAGTGGAAATTTCCACTTCGTGGAGGTAATCTTGCACAACTCCAGCCACATGTGGTCGAGCATTATCGTGCATCAATAAAAAATCTTCTCCAATGAATGGGGCATATGGTACCACATGGGGTTCTAAAAGTTCCGTTATGTATCGGTTAGCTGTCAAGCGACCTCCCTGAATCTAAGGCAATTCTGTGCGAGCATCCATACTTATGCCACCCCATACCATTACAGAACCTCCCCCGTAGCTCACTGTTCCAACAATGTTGCATTGGGCATACCTCTCGCCAGGACGTCGATATACTCTACAACGGCGGTCATCACTAAAGAGGCAAAACCTTGATTCGTCGCTAAACAATACATTGCCCGATTCACGGCCACCCCAATTTTCGTGCTCCGCAGAGCAAATTGAAGACGTTGCCTTCGATGCTGCTGGGTTAGAAGGGGAGCCCTTGCTGCTCGATAGGGAGTGATTGTGCTTTCTGCCAACCTTCTCCTCACTGTATCTTGACTAATACGATAGTTATACCGACGAGAGAATTCTTGCTGTAGCGCTGTGCTTGTAACAAACCGAGTCCGTAATGCCTGCATTCGCAAAAATCGATCGTGATCATTCGTTGTCACCCTTGATCGTCCTTGTCCTAGTCTTCTTTGATTACTACCGGTCTCCCGAAATCGTGTTAGTGCTCTGGATTTAGCAGATTGTGTCACTCCATAACGTTGTGCCACTTCAGCTTGTGACAAGCCTTCTTCCACAAGTGCTATTGCAGCAGCACATTCTTCAGGCGAAAGATTTCTCACGTCGCGTGCGTTTTGGGCCATTTTTTTTAAAGTACACCGACTAAAGTAAAACGTTTCCAATACACACACGAAATACTAACTGAAAATGCTACAGTCCACGATCAAACATTTAAGGAATATTGTTCTTATCTCCCTTTTTTCGATATTGTAAACAACCATTGTTTTTTATAAATTCACAAAATTCACACAAGTCATTGCACACTGCACAGTTTTCAAAATTATTATAATTAAATCGACGGTAGACTCAGCTACTACCCAAGAGTATATTGTTTGGCTGTTACCTAATTTCCAACAAATTACCTACTCTTACTTTTTCGCTAACCTCTATAAAAGGCTATATTTTGGATCGGTAATTATCCAAAAAAATTTTTTTTCGAAATGCTTGTCAAAATTTGTTTTCAATTTTCTGTTTATTGAATGGCGCTGCCAAAAGGGCACTCAGGGGGATTTGTTTATAAACAGAAGTAATCGTCTTGAGATATTGACCCAAAGTACCGACCACTTGACAATATCTACAGGATTTATCTGATTTCTGAAAAACTTACCTTTACCTTTTCGCTAACCCCTGTACAATGCGGAATTTTGTATTAACAGTAATAGCGTAATAATTTTCATAAAATGAGCTTGCAAAATCGAAAAAATATTCAAAAGGTATCAGGCCGTTTCTATGCAACAGCATTTCTAAGTCGGACTGCCAAAAAGGCACTCGGGGGGCACTAATCCAAAAATTGAGAAATTTGTACCGATATATTGATCCAAAGTTTCAACTGACCAATTGTGTAACAAAACGAAAGCACACAGCCCAATTGGCATAGCTTTGAAGCGAGCATTTACCAAAATTTGCACAATTTTAGATACGTGATTTTTTCGACCCCTGTATAATGTGATAAGGGACATCCGCAAGTAAAGCTATTGCGTCAAAAAAAATCTACAGAAAAGGAGCTTCTAAAATCCGATATGCTGACCAATACCGGTTCAGCCGTTTTCACGCAGCAGCCTTTTGAAAATTGTTTAACAAGAATTTGACCCATTTTTTATTAGTGGTATATCTGCGTCAAAAGGGCCTTTACCAGAAAACTGCTAAAAACGTCTCGAGATATTGACAGCAGTTTATCAACGGTCCATACTGGATCGCGAAAAAAAAAATTATTGCCGGCCAGGCACACAACCCTAATTTGTCTATTGTTGCATTACTTCATGAATCACCCTGTATAACATGAAAATAACATTCCTTCTAAAAAATTGTTTTTGCCGCGTAATCTAGACGAAAACAACTTTCGAACGCCGGAAACCGCATGCAGAAAAATTATTCCAAAAAAAAATGAGAACCAAAAAAAGAAAATGGTAAATTTAACCTATGCGCTAATTATGCTGTGCAGTGTAGTTTACCTTTGTTTCTTTTATCAGGTGATTTGTCATATTTCTGTATCTTTTGTATTCCCTAAGAAAATCCTCATTATATCCACTATTTTTGTATTTTTGATACAACTCATGTTTCTTATTTACGGACACTAGGAGCCCATTTGTTATCCAGGGAGTTCGCTTGAATTCTGAGTGGCGTATTTTAATTGTGGTTTTACAAAGAGAAATGCCGTTATTTATGTTTTTATAAAAAATGTTCATGCATTCATCAACATCCTCACATCTATAAAAATTCTTCCAGTTAACTGATTTGAGTGTCTTGGTAAGTTTGTCATGGTCAATGTATGTTTTTGTCCTGCTTCCTGTATTCTGGCTTTTCTCATTTAGCTGCCCTGAGAGGTTACTTATTTTTAATAGAATAGGGTAATGGTCAGTGATGCGACCCTGCAAAATCACCGGCACTAAAGTGAGATTTGTATCCTTGAATCTAACAAAAATATGATCCAAGCAGGTCCCTGTTTCAGGTCTTGTTACATCATTTATTGTTGATCTAAACCGGTGCGCACTCAAAAGATTCAGATATTCATTCACACACTCATCCCGATCATCCAGCAAGTTCATATTTATATCCCCAACTATGACATCCACATCCGACTTTAAGTTCAACGATTCTAAAAAATTTAGGAGGTTGAGGTTAAATTCATCTCTATCCAAAGATGGTGACCGATATATTGAAATAATTCTAAATTGTTTTTCCTTAAAATCAATTTGAGTCAAAATAATTTTTATACTTCCCAAGAGTATGACATCACTTTGGTGACTTAGACTACTCTTTAGACTTTAGATAAATAACAGTACCATCACATTGATTCAATGAACCGTAGTTGTACACCATATCATAGCCCGGGATGCTCAACAAATTAAGTTCACAGAGCTGCCTAGTTTCTGTTAAAATGATGCAATCGAATTGAAAGTTTATTCCTGCTAACAAAACCTGCAGAGCTGGTAAGTGTTTTGGTAAACTTCTAATATTTTTATGAAATATACTAAAGCTCACGTTTTCATCTCTAAGCAAATTCTGACACTCTTTCATGGACTTTGCAATGTTTGTATTTATATTCTCAGGTCTAAAATTTTGAATATAAGCTTCCATTTTTACTTACTAAATATATCAAATACACACGCTAAAACTAAGAAATAAAATAAAAAAAATAAAATAAAAATATATACAAAAGAATAAAACGATTTAAAATATATATATACTGAATTAAAAATAACATGCAAAAGGTAACGATTTTACTGACACACAGTTGATGAAAAGTACAGACACAAATCACAAGATTTAAAATGCTGAAAAGTTACCTCTACTTTTTTATTGTTTTTGGGAGAATTCCTGGAGATTGACCTGTCTGCTTCAGAACTGACTTACTTTTAGTGCTCTTGACCTCTGTTTTTGTTTTGTTGTCTGACCTGTATTTTGAATCTGCCAAGTCTTTGCTTTTGGTTCTGGTCAGTCTGGGGCTTGCCTTCTTCAAGTTTTCAATTTGTGGTAGCTTTTTCGGTGGCTCCCCAGAAAACACTTCGGTTTCTTGATTTTCTTCAAATTCGTAATAGCGTAATTGATGAGTTGGAGTAGCTGGTGCACTGCTATGCTTGACTTCCTGAACCTCTATATTCTCGTCAAACTCAGTGCCTTCCTCCAATGCCTCCACCGAATACTTATCTCCGTTAATCAAAAGGAAAGATCCCTTGATATTTGCCTTATGTCCTTTTTCAAGTGCTGCCTTTTTATGTTTGACCAAAATCTTCCTTTCTGCTCTTTCTTCGGGCGTGAGGTCGTCGCAGATGCTTATTTGCGTGCCTTTTAGCTTTTTGCACTGCCGCAGAACTTCTAGTTTTGTAAGAAACGACACGAATTTAACCACTATTGGACGTGATTCTGCACTTTTTCCAATTTGGTAGATATTATCACAGTCCGATATCTTGAGACTAATCCAGCAAGGAATTCAAAGACGTTACAACGAAGTCCGGCCGACTAACGGATTGATCGTATTGTAAACCAAATATGATTATGTTGTTTTTCTTAAAGTTTCTTTGTATTTGTTCGTTTAGAGTAATTTGTTGTTTCTGAAACTTTTCCAAATTTTCGCGTTTTTCGACTTCACTCTGGACTGATTTCTGTAGAGCCGCGACTTCTTCGTTGATTTTTTGCACTTCCGTCTTTATTTCAATTTTGATAGTTTCTGTCTGCGTACGGTTTTCTTGTTTTATAAATTCGGTGAGTTTCAAAAACAGTGCATCATTATTATCATTCATTTTGCTCCGTATATGGTAGACTTTATTTCCGTTGTTTATATTTTCGAATGTTTATATTTCCGAATTATATTGCATTATTGATTTAGGTACCTATTAAGATAACCTTGAGCGGAAAATTACTGTGTGCGAATTGTGAACGCGTTTTTTTAACGATTCTATTGTCTATTGTATTTGTTGCATTAAAATCAATGCCGAAATATTCACTATTCACTATAATTGAATAATACACACTTTTAGTTAAA